AGAGAGAGAGAGAGAGAGAGAGAGAGAGAGAGAGAGAGAGAGAGAGAGAGAGAGAGAGAGAGAGAGAGAGAGAGTCTGCTTCGATCAGTTTCATAGCCGATCTTCTCCCATCATCTAGTGTAGTATCTGCTCCGTTCAGTTTCATATCTCATCTCTGATCCATCGAGACCTTTTTATTTTATAAAAGAATAAAAAAAGAACGCACACACACTTGCGAAAGAGAGAGAGAGAGAGAGAGAGAGAGAGAGAAAGAGAGAAAGAGAGAGAGAGAGAGAACCCTTTGTAACCAACTGCACGTCCGCCACCTCTCCACCCCACACGAACAAGTGCAGTATCTGCTTCGATCAGATGCATGGTTCATTGAGATGGTTAAAAAGCGGGGGGCGGAAGTAACAAGCGCACCCAAGACGTGGGAGAGAGACTAGAGAGAGAGAGAGAGAGGGAGAGAGAGAGAGACCGCAGTCTAACTATGCGCCAGCCCACCCCCCTCCCAACGATCAAGTGTACCATCTGATCCATGGTCTGAAAAAAAAGCGTAGTATCCGATGGTCTAAAGAAAAACCAAAAAAGCACGTGCGTGCAAGAGAGAGAGAGAGAGAGAGAGAGAGAGAGAGAGAGAGAGAGAGAGAGAGAGAGAGAGAGAGAGAGAGAGAGAGAACCCAATCTCACTAACTGTGCACCCCCCCTCCCCTTTACACACACACACGATGAAGTATAAGTATCTGCTTCGATCAGTTTCATATCCCATCTTCTCACATGATAAAGCGTAGTATCAGCTCTGTTCCGTTTCATATCTGATCCGTGGTCCATCGAGACCTTTTCATTTTCACACAAAAAAAAAGACACCGAATGAGCGAGAGAGAGAGAGAGAGAGAGAGAGAGAGAGAGAGAGAGAGAATCCAATCTAACTAACTGTGCACCCCCCCCTGCCCTACACTAACACACGATCAAGTGTAGCATCTGCTTCGATCAGTTTCATATCTCATCTTCTCACATGATCAAGCGTAGTATCTTCCCGGTTCAGTTTCATATCTGATCCGTGGTCCATCAAAACCTTTTTATTTTCACCAAAAAAAAGCACCAAAAAAGAGAGAGAGAGAGAGAGAGAGAGAGAGACAGAGAGAGAGAGAGAGAACCCAATCTAACTAACTGTGCGCCACTCCCCCCCTACACACACACACGACCAAGTGTAGTATCTGCTTCGATCAGTTTCTTATCCGATCTTCTCACATGATCAAGCATAGTAGCTGCCCCGTTCAGTTTCATTTCTGATCCGTGGTCCATCGAGTCTTTCTATTTTCACAAAAAAAAAAAAGCACTGAACGAGCGAGAGAGAGAGAGACACAGAGAGAGAGAGAGAGAGAGAGAGAGAGAGAGGGAGAGAAAACCCAATCTAACTAACTGTGCGCCTCCCCCCCCGTACACACACACACGATCAAGTGTAGTATCTGCTTCGATCAGTTTCATATCTCATTTTCTCACATGATCAAGCGTAGTATCTGCTCTGTTCAGTTTCATAACCGATCTGTGGTCCATGGAGACCTTTTTATTTTCACAAAAAAAAAAAGCAACGAAGGGGAGAGAGAGAGAGAGGGAGAGAGGGAGAGAGGGCCATGCTCATGGCACCCGTCCTTAGCATCTACAACCCCACCTTGCCAACGAGAGTGACGACTGATGCTTCCGGCTATGGCATTGGGGCAGTCTTGGAACAACACGACGGCGACGCCTGGCACCCCGTTGAGTACTTCAGCCGCAAGATGCCTCCCATCAACTCACTTGATGATGCAAGGAAGGAGTTGCTCGCGTTTGTGATGGCTCTCAAGTGATGGTGGCACTTCCTCCTTGGGCGTCGTAAGTTCACATGGGTCACGGATAAAAACCCATTGACCTACTACAAGACGCAAGATACGGTGAGCAGCACTATCGGACGATGGATGTACTTCATCGACCAATTTGACTTCACACTGAAACATCTCGCCGGCCTCTCCAATCGCGCAGCAGATGCTCTCTTGCAAGATCCGATCTTTGTACTATGACACATCATGCCTTAGCATTCGACGAGGAACTCCAGAGGCATTTCATTCGGGGCTACCAGTCTGATCCGGATTTCGCCACACTCTATGTGCAGCTATCTTCGGATCACCCGCCGGCCAGCAATTATCGCATCATCGACGGGTACTTGCTTCTCCACTCGCGAGGCAAGGACTTCGTGTGTCCCACGAGACTGTCGTCTTCGGACTCGCCTTCTCGGCGAGTACCATGACTCATGACTCGCCGGCCATTTCGGAGTCAATCGGACAATTCCACGACTTCGGCTACGACTCCGTGGCCGAAGTCATCACCAATGTCACTCGATATTGCGACTCTTGTGAAGTTTGCCGACGAAGGAAGCCCCGCAACCGCAATCCCTACGGCGAGTTGCGCCCGTTGCCTATCCCGCGGGAACCCGACCTCTACATTGCTATGGACGTCATCGGCCCGTTTCCCCGTGACCACCTCGGGCACGACGGCATCCTCACTGTCGTTGACCGTTTGAGTAAGTTCGCGTGGTTTCTTCCATGAAAGTACTACGCCACAACTCCCAAGATCGCACGACTTTTGCACACCGGCTGGATTTGCAGCCACAGCGTACCGGAAGACATCGTTAGCGACCGCGACACTCAGTTCATGTCGGCATTTTGGACTTCTCTCATACGGTAGTCCGACACCGAAATGAAACCAAGTTCGGCTCGGCATCCACAAATGGACGGGCAAACGGAGCGGGCACATCAAACCGCTCAAATGATGCTTCGTACGCTGATCCGTCTGGACCAGAAGGATTGGGTTGTCCGCCTCCCCGACATCGAGTTCGCCTACAACACTTCATTGCATCTGGGGATCGGCGTGACTCCTTCCGAGTTGCACCAGGTGGTCGGAAAGGCCGTATCTTCGCCGATCTTCTCCTCCCACGGACTGCCGACATTGACGCCCCTTGCTCTCCCGTCTCCGTTCGGAAGTACTGCGACTTGCTGGCTAAGGCCCGCATAAACATGCAAAAGGCTGAAGTCCGCATGCAGCAGCAAGCCAATCGGTGTCGCGTACCATGTCCTATCCGCGCCCGCGACCTGGTTTGGGTCTCCGCGGAAGAGTTTGCGCTCAAACCAGACATCTCACGCAAGCTCCTTCCCAAGTGGTTTGGACCTTGGATCGAAACATCAGCCGCGAGCGATGAACCCGATGGCCCCTCATTTGTGATCAACATCCCTCCGCATCTGACGGTCCATCCAGTTTTTCACGCCTCGAAGCTGGCAACATATACACCGGCTAAGAGCGACGATTTCCCGGCAGACGATCACAAGACCCTCCGTCTATGGATGGTCGTCAAGAAGTGGATCGCATCATCACAAATCGCAAGTACGACAACGAGCCTCGACAGTATAAGGTTACCTTCAAGACATGCGATCCTGACGACACTCGATGAATTTCACTAGCAGATTTGCAAGTGTCTGCACCTCCGATCTACTCTCACGACTACAACAGCGACTAGCTAAAGAAGCTTCACTACCTGCCCCTCCCATCTGGACTTTGGTCCCTCCCTCCGACACGCAGCTTCGTCCTCGCAGGTAAGCTCGGTCTTTCAAGGAGGGGGGGGGTGTGCAATACTGCTCATCCACACGGGCCTGCAGAGCCCGACCATACGAAAAATAAGGGCCCTCCAAGCCCTTTGTCGTTTCGGCCTAAAAGCATGAAAAGGAGGGCCATTTTCAAGCCCTCATAAAGTCGACCTGCCCTGAAACTTAGGCGCCAGACCAAGGTTTAGCACAGGCCATTTTTGGGCCTATTTCAAGACAACCTTTGTTTGAACTTGAACGCTAGGGTCTGGCACAATTCGGCATGGGCAAGAGCAGCCTCCCAAGCTCGTCCAGCACTATATTAGTACTGGTCCGCCCTACAGTTTACAAGCAGTTCACGGGCACTTCACGTGCAGTTCAGGAGGCAGTCTTCAGCGCTGGGCGCTGCAGCAATAGTAGTAGCGCTAGTAGTAGTCCTCAGCGCTGGGCGTCGTTAGGAGCTTAGAGTAGCGTTTGAGAGTGGCGGAGGTCAGGGAGACTTACCTGTGGCGCCATAGCTCCAGCTTCATCTTCGATGTACCTGCAACAAGGCACCACCTACACAGGTTAGTACTTCGTACACCAAAGAGAGAGAGAGAGTTCTTCTTCTTCCTCCTCTCAAGTCCACCATCTCTCCCTCACCGTCTCGCTACCTGACTTCTCAGCAGCTACAAGACTACAAGAGAGAGAGAGAGAGAGAGAGAGAGAGAGAGAGAGAGAAATCTGCGACTTTGAGATTTGACGACATTTGGCTTTGGACTTGACATTGGGATCGAGACATTGGACGAGGATTATTTGGGGCCTACATCGAAGACTTGGTGTTGACGACATTCCCATTGTCCCCCTCTTCTTCGCCTCGTCCCCCTCCTCTTCGTCAATGTATGGTTTGGGGACTGGCGCATTCTTCCTGTGTGAGTGCCAGGCCCCTTCACACCATGTGATGATGATGACGTATGTTTGGTCTGCCTTGCGACATTGATTGGTCTGATCATTGGTATTTTAGCCTTCCGTTGCGCTATCCTGTACTATGTGAGAGAGGTCGGTTCTTGTTCTGGTCTGCACCATCACGATATGCAACAAGCTGCCTCCACCTCATCTGTTGCCACCACCTCGGCTGCCACTACCACCTGATCAGCCGCTACCAACGCTTCCTTCCCCACCATGGCCCAATCATCCACATTGATATGTCCACATCCGCACCGACTCTGTCGACAGCATCGCCCGCAACCTCACAGGCGAGCAAACACCAACAGCTGATGCCGCCACCGATCTCGCGACACTCTGCAACATGGTGACATCCATCCACTCATCCATCGACGTCATCAAAACATCCGTCTCCACCATCTCCGCTCACGTGACGGACATCGAAAATTGAACCCCCGCCATCCAGATCGTCACCACCACGCCTCCCCCCCCCACCTCAGTTTCCACCGCACTTCCCCCATCTCCCGCCTCCACATCCACCGCCTTCTCCGCTAGCACGTCATCCACACCCTTGCCTTCATCCACCACCACCCCCACGGCGGTCACTCCACCGCCCAAGACGACAACCCCTGCCATCACGCAGTCGTCGACCATTCCCCCCCAGTCAAAACCTCTCATGACATCATTCCAGATCACTTCCACCCTCCCCACCCATACCCAGATCACATGCACACCACAAGCCCTGCTCCCCGTTCTCCCAATTCTTCCTCCGTCCGCACTCCTCCCGACCAACCCCACCACCGATTTCACCCCATCGTCCTCCTCACCCAAACTTGATTTCAACACCCTCGCCACCACAACACCCTTAACGGCTAACATTCCCCCATCCTTCCGATCAATGGACATCCCCCCCTTCACCGGCCTTCCTCTCGAGAACGTCTTCGCCTTCCTCAGCAAACACTACGAGGCCTTCTCCCTCCACAACGTCCCTGTCACACACCGGCTCCCTATTGCGAGCACCAGGTTACAGGAAGGTGCCGCTTGTTGGTGGTACACCAAACACGCTAAGCGGCAACAAACAAACACGGAACCCCATTGCTTCCTCCAATGGGCCAACCTCATCACCTGCACATTCCGACCGCATAAGATGGTCGATGATTACTTTGAGCAACTCTATCGCCTTCGACAGAACGGCGCGATCGGTCGTTTTGTCCAATACATTCGTGCGTTGCGGCAACACATCCCCCTTGACTACGTCAGCGACACTGCATTCATCTCCCGCTTCAAATGGGGATGCCGCAAGGACCTCGCCGCCTCCCTCGTCCACGACCCTCCGATGTCCCTCTTCGATCTCTTCAACAGCGCCATTCACCTAGACAAATTCCTCACCCCGTACGAGAACGCACTCACATCCGAACCACCCCGCCCACGATTCTTGCAAAACATCACCGACAAAACCTCTCTGTCTGCCTCCTCGGACGAGTTCTCTGCCCTCGACCCCGACACCCTTTCCGATCCACTAGACACCACATCACTGTCCTCCGACGAACTCTCCACCATCCACCTTATGGGGATGGAAAAGAGAGAACGCACCAGTCGTCCTCTTATAAACACCCACCCAACCCGTCTCACTAAACTCACGCCAAAGGAGTGAGCCTACCTCCAAGCAAAGGGTGGTTGTTTCCAATGCCGACAGTTAGGGCATCAAGAGACAAACTCCCCAAATACCGAACAGTTTACACGTGAGGCACCCAGGTCCGTGGCCCCCCGACCCGCCGCTTCCGCAGCTGTCACTCCCGGTCCCTCCTCCACTTGAACACTGTCCCCAGGACCACCACGAACTCGTCCCGGCATCGACGACTAGTTTGTCGGCCATCCCATCGGTGACGATCTCCATCCCGCCGGTGGCCCATTTAGCATTGACAATATGTCTGCCTCCACCCTCTCCAATGTCGTACATCCCACCGAACGACCCCCAGGCGTCGCAACCCTCGTCATGCTTCCACCTCAAATTCATCGCTGCCACCCTTGGTGCCTCTACGACTACGTTGCGGGCCCTCCTCGACATTGGAGCCACCGGTAACCTCATCACCGACGCCTATGTTCGAAAAACCGATCTTACCTCTACCGGTTACGACTCCCCGATTACGATTCGTTTAGGGGACAAAGACACCGCCGTCGTAGTAGACCGCACGATTCCCGAGAGCACCATGACTATCCGAACCCTCCGCAGTCGGGTCTCATTCGATGGCATGCACTTAATGCCCAAGGGCCCTAATGATATTTTAAAAACTGATCAGAATGGAAACAACCTCAAACGATTGCAAGCTTCAAACAATGCAAGTTGGTAGTGTATGAGTAGCGGCAATGCCTACTGCAGTTATCCTTTTATCTAGCAATCTGTAAATGGTCAGAGCAACTTCCGCAGGCATAAGCCCATAGGTTAAGCTGGCTGATGCTGTCAGTACTCCGGGTCAAGTCGTGGGGTCCCCAGCCTTGATTGTTTATATGCGATGAATTGAATTTGAGTTAATAGGTAAATAAAAGAATAAATAAATAATAATAATGATCAGCATCATCATCACAAACAACAACAACTGTCAATTTGTGATCCAAGTTCTCACCAACGCTCAACCTCGCCAGTACCCAGAGAACATTCACAGGAGAGACCACACATGAGAAACCGAACCAAGATGCAATCACCGCATGAAGAACTGTCACCGAATTATTATTATTATACAAGGAAAGGAAACCGTTTCCATCACCAGCGGGCTCTGCCGCTCACAGACACAGCATCTCATGCTGTCAGTACTCCGGGTCAAGTTGTGGGGTCCCCAGCCTCGATTGTTTATATGCAATGAATTGAATTTGAGTTAATAGATTAAAAAATGAAGAAACAAATAATAATAACGATCAGCATCATCATCAAAAACAACAACAACCATCAATTTGCCCAGAAAAGAGATTCGTGAAATTATCCAAGTTCTCACCAACGCTCAACTTCGCAAGTACCCAGAGAACATTCACAGGAGAGACCACACATGAAAAACAGAGCCAAGATACAATCAACGCATGAAGAACTGTCACCGAAGTATTATTATTATACAAGGAAAGGAAACCGTTTTCGTCACCAGCGGGCTCTGCCGCTCACATACACAGCATCTCGACCTCGGCTATGGCTGTACACTCTCTCTCTCTCTCTCTCTCTCTCTCTCTCTCTCTCTCTCTCTCTCTCTACACTTGCCCTAGATACAATCAAAGCATGAAGAACTGTCACCCTGGATACACCCACTCAGATAAGCTTCCAGCTGGGTGGCTATGGCCACCGGTACTCCTACTTCACTACCCTATCCATGGAGTATTATTTATTCCCCTCCATGCGCGAAGTGCCCAAGTTGCCTCAACACACAAGCAGCAGTAGCACTTCCACATCTTGTGAATGAACAAGTGGTGAGCCGCTGCACTGTAGCAGCTAAATATAGAGTTGGACTTGGCTTGGCCTGCTTCAGACCGGTACTGGTCGGCCGTGGCCTGTCTGCTGCAATCATTTTGTCGGTCTGGTTGCTTCCGGACTTTCTTGGGACATGCTGCAAAATAGGACTTGGGACTAGACTGTACTGTTCTGGACTTTTCGTGTCGGGTACTGGACTGACTTCTAGCGACCTGTGACACTTCAATACCAACACCTACAGGCCTACTTGGACTGGGACTCGGGGTGTCTGCAACGTGGATCCTTTCAGTCGAAAGTCCACCGAACACCAGGTGACCTACAGGGTCTGAGAAGGCCCAGTTCACCCGGACTGGGCAACCCACCCAGCCAAGCAACCAGGCCATCTTCCAGGCGTGTGTGGGAGGCCCACCCGCCCAGACATGATAAAAACAAAAAGTAAAGGGGAAAAAGGTTCAAAAAACACGGTTTGATCAAGAAAACGGGATAGAAAAGCCTGCACTTTTGTCATGATCTGCCAACCAGTTATTTGCAACCTGACAACCATAGCATGGCACCCTGCTCAATGATTATTTTAAATCATCGCTACCCTCCGGGGTGGGAGCTAAGTCGTGAATATAACCTATACCGCATTCTTCAGAGGCCGGCGGAGGCTGGGCACTACTGGACCAAAAAGGTCGGTCGCGCCAGCCAAAAGAAAATGAAAAGCGCCTCGCTGGCGCTTCGGCCAGAGCTTGACGCGCAGTTCTACTTCGCTTCGGCCAAAAAAGGCTCGGACGTAGTGGTGGTTTAAAGGAATGAAAACAGAGGGAGCGAAAAGGGAAAAACAAGGGCGGGGGGGGGGGAGGTTAAAAAAAAGTCCTTCAGGACATCCATTAAAATTGGAACGATACAGAGAAGATTAGTATGGCCCTGTGCAAGGATGACACATATAAAAAAAAGGAGAAGAAGATAGAAGAGAACAAAAACCTGCAGGATTCTTAAAGCAACGAGGGCTGAGATAGACAAAACACCTACCACACATCCACCTTCTCATCGTAGTAGGCTTCTGGATACAGGTGTCGCTCGTCCACGGAGGGCATCAGCAAAACCTCCGGTGCCATATAATCCAGTGTCCCAACCCTCGTTATTGGGCGCTCCTTGGTGCTATCAATGCTCAGGCCAAAGTCACACAGAATCACTCTTCCCTTAGAGTCCAACAGCAAATTTTCCGGCTTGACGTCCCTATGAATAATTCCATGCGCATGTAATTCCTGCAGAACAGACATGACATGACGTGGCAGACATGCACAACAGGACGAAATCTTCTGTCATGACACACGCATCCACACATGTGATGTTGACCCAAAACAGCAGCCAAGAGCAAACCAAACCGACATCAAGACTTTGGAGTCCTCCAACAGAGAGCAGACACACAGTACTATCCAGGTGCCACACGCACTTCACGAGATCCAGTTCTTGAAAATCACAGCTGTTCAATCGATTTGAACAATACATCCGACTTCTGTCTAGGCACCCTGTTTACCATAAAACTTCTGAAATTTGCTGTGTGACATGGTTGCTTCCCAGCCAACTGGCTACCCCGACCGCCGACCGTTTTGCAGCCTAATGGTAGGGCGGACCGGTCGGTAGTCTGCAGACCAGTCACTAGATAGCCATCCACTGATTTATTTTTTTAATCTGACTCTNTGCAACGGTAGAAACTGAAGGACTATTCTGCAGTTCCAAATTTGCCAGCCCAAATGAAGTCACAGACTGCAGTACCAACCAGGCCGCTCGGGTCAAGCTTGGACCTGTCTCTTATACACATCTAGATGTGTATAAGAGACAGGTTATAGGGCAGGAGTATGGGGATGTGTGGGGGGTTTGAGAGTAGTGGGTGGGGGTGCGGGGGGTTATGGGGGTGTTAGAGAGAGCATGAATGAGAGTGCTGGCAGGGGGTATGGGGGTGTTGGGTGGGATATGGGAGTGTGTTTTTTTTTTTTTTGGGTTCGGGGGTTCGGGGGGGTGTGTGGGGGGTAGGGGAGGATCTTGCTTGACTTTCTTAATTTTTTCATTTCGATTTTTGTGAGGTGCCGACCAGCTGACAACCAGCAGTTGCTGACAGACCGACTGGTCAGCTGGTCGGCCCCCGACCAACCGGGGAGCGCTGACCGTCGGGGGGCCTACACTTCTGTGTGACCAAATTCTTATCAATCAAGTGAGCGATTGATGAATTTGAAGTTCGAATGAATGCTAAACTCCCAAGGACGAAAGCTGAAATGATTGACCAATTTAAACTCTATGTTGAACTCTCCGGTGAAGAAAAGCTAACTTTGATTGTCAGGGCAGACAGCAACACTAGGCACGGGGAAACCCGCAGGTCACTGTCTAGAGCAGGTGGAACAGTGGGTGCAATTCAAGATTTCCATGCCACTCACTAAACCAGGCAGGAACAGTAAGCTGTTGGACAGGGTTTACAGGCAATGGATTCACATAGGCAGGAATAGTGAACCAGGGCAAAGTCTGAAGGGCATTGCCTGAACCAGGAAGGACCAGTGTGGGCAGGGAAAAATCTGCACATTGCTGTATGGCCTGCAGAGGGCGTGCAAGAACAAAGGGGGATGTGAAAGATGGTGAATTGATCATGAAGTTTCAAAGGTGAATTAAAGAATGAACGAGGGAGGGAAACTCCAGAGCCTACGACTTGGAAGAGAGAATCGGCAGATATAATAAGGCAAAGCAAAGGAACATAACTGGTGATGCTAAACTGCAATGCCTCCGAGTTTGTCAAAGAGAGGATAAAAACAAGATGGCAAAGAAAAAAGCCAAAGAATGAACGAATTCATCACCCCTTGGAAACGGTAGCATCTCGTCTGAAGCCCATTGATTACTGACATACTTACGAGCACATGTAGAGAACCTCTGTCCAACATGGACCTAACACACGTTAAGCGCACTGCAGACTCAATCTTAAACAAAAATGAAAAAGATGATAGCATACGGAGGAACCGGCGGAACTTTGCATAGCCTTGGCTATCATTCTGCATGAGGATTCTTTGAACATTCGAATATCAACCTGAGCAAGATGATACAAGCCACTATACTTTTGCACATGGCCAGCTTTACCGTGGACCAAGCAGCCCATCTCGCTCCTCAACTTTCCTAAACTACCTCAGATCCGGGGATGGGAGAAAGGGAGGAGGGGGGGATGGAGGAGAACAGAGAAGAGAAAGGAAGTGGCAGAGGAAGGAAGCTGCTTTGCAGAGGATTTACCACAAAGGCTTGTGGATCATGGACATTGTGCAACTCCCAGACTGCCTCAAGAATTCTAGCAGCTCTTTTGACGTGTTCAGATGGCTGGTCGCTCATTCAATGGTACATAACTACCTGCACGGGAAGTCACACAGACAGAAGGGATGGGTCAAGACCCCGACTGCCATTTTTTTATGGGTTAATTTGAGGGAGGCAGGCAAGTAGAAAGCTGGTGTTGTGCGCCACCCTTCATCTTTTCCCTTAGAAAGGCAGCTAGAATTGCGGCTGTGGAAGAGGCACGAATGAACAAACAGATAAAAACGCCAGTGTGGTTTTGGCACCAGAGAAAGAATTAGGGCACATCAGATGGAGGAATATAGGCAGCAACAGGTTTGTTTCTAGGTCAATCGCAGTGCTTGGCTGGCACTGGTTGGTGACTGTCACCCCGGGCGTGTAAAATGTCCGGGAAAACTGAGGAATCTTTATTTTTCATTTATTTTCTCTGAGCGGCATTTCTGTGCCCACCGAAAGCAGCTTGAATCGAGGCAGTTTCTGTTTTCTCATGTCGGTTAGGAGGGAGATGGGGGGGGTATAAACGAGGATTAAAAGAGGGTGCCTTAGTTTGATTTTATTTATTTTCCCTAATCGTTGATCGGTAAGGACTTCTGAGATTCCCAGAATTTTTTAGTTTTTTGCCTGGCCAGGCCTTCCAGGCAATAGCCCGAACGTCAAGAAAGTTATCGTAGATTTATTTCCCTTTTTTGCCTCTGTTACCGAGGAAAAGCAAGATGTGAGCATGAAGCAAGATAAGGAATGAGAGGATAAAGGGAGCGATGAGGACAATTATTGGCAGTTTGGCAGAGATAAGAACATATGTTCACCTGTTATGTACCCAATTGAACTTCAATCCACAACGAATTCACGTGTTCCCATACACGCATGCAATTGCAGAGTAGACTCGAAGGAGGCAAATCCACACAAAACCGGAGAGAAGATATGCACAGCGGAAGCTCAAAACACAACAGAATCGAAAAGCGAATTTCAATTTTACAATCGCTCGTCCTCCTCCAATCAATCCAGAGTACTTGTTCCAAGAATCACAACCGCATTCACAACAACCCCGAACAACCAGAAACAACTGTTCAACGAAGTATGCAGGAGTCTTCTTCTTCCTCCTCGCCACCTCATATCCCTGGCTATGGCTGCCGTAGCAGCAGTGTCACCATAGCTGTCACAACATGCCAATCTGAACCAGCAAGCCTAATGATAACTGCGCCAGCTCAGCACCCGCATGGAAGTGCAGCGCTGGAAGTCTGGATGAAGAAGGAGACAACCGATCCAGCACTTCGAAGAAGGCAAAGTTCCTCGAGAGGAGGAACAGCAGATATGGCTGCCAAGTGCAAGATGGCAGCACCGATACCCAACAACACAGTCCGGTGGAAGCTCTCATGCAGAGCTGCGAATAGCAGCAGTGCGATCTTCACCTTCGTTTCCCAACCCCAGCTATGGCTGGACTTCGAGGAAGAAGATGACCTCGCCCAAAATAGAGCAGCAGCACTCCAACAACGGATGGGCAGAGTTTCCCCAGCCAACGAAAACGTGAAAAGACACACACCAAATTTCCTACCCGCTAATTCTACCCTCTGCCTAGACCTACGACGGACTCCAAAGGCAACAACCCAATACTCATCTGCATCTACATGGAAACAGGGGGAAAAGGGGATCTAGACCTATGACAAGGCAAAAGGAAAAGGCCGAATGGCCTAAGGCTACCAAACACAGGCTACTACTGACAGACTTAGGGATCAAGTCCCATAGGGCGCAGCACTCACAAACCAAACACACGAGTTGCAGGTCACGGGATCAAGTCCCGCAAGGCTCAAAACAAGAAAACAAACCACGAAGCCAACCACTTAGTGTACAGTCCCGATGGGAAACTGCGATTTATTGCATTCTTACCCTCCCGGGGAGCGAGGACCCACGAGCTACATAACCAACTACCAGCGACATTGGTGGAGAGGCATTAGCTAGAGGATCACTAAACGTCCATAGTGATGGAGAACCCAAAGACCTCAGAATCTCCGAGGGTTATGTTGAGATTATCAGATTAGATTGATTAGTTGAATGCGAGGGTATTAGCCAGGTAATCAACTTACAATCAGCTTCTGAAAATCTATGGGTTGGAGTTCAGATTATCAGCGAGTGTTGGCTAGCTGAATGCAAGGGTATTAGCCTCGTAATCAGCTTATAGATAGCTAACAACATCCTGAAAATCAGATGATCGAGGTTTAGATTAACAGCATGGACCAGCAAGTCGAATGCAAGGGTGTTAGCCTAGTAATAAACTTTGCTATAATCCATTAATTCTGAAAATCTGATTAATATCTGTCAGGACTGGGTATCGGTTAGACTCCTTAACTGCTGATCTGTGTATTTGCAAGCGTGATACGCAGATTCTTCCCAAGAATAGGGTAGGATCTGACAAGATCTGTATATGGGGCTAAACCTCACCATATTCAGCAATGGGTAGGTCTATCTGAGTAGAGAGTCAGTCACAAACAGATTTGATTCTGGCCAATCAGGCTGAAACGTTACTAGGACAAAGCCTAGTGGTGCAACTCTATAGGTGAAATTCAGAACACTGTCGCTACTAGTGTGCGACTACAGAGAACACTGAAACTCTGATTTCTACCCGAGAGAGCAAAACTTAAGACCATGTAGGAGAATTTCAGGTAAGATCCGTACTAATCATACTCTCTCTCAAACACAGGCCATCCATCCAATGAGTGCGGTTTAGTGTGAGAACATGAACTTGCTCAGACAATGAATGCAGCTCAAAGCATACACAGGGGATTAGTAAGACAAGGATTCACTGAAACTGACAGTGAAATTCTTGTCAGACTGCAGTCTGTCCATCAGTGGTGTTTGGGAAATGGGATCGGCCCGGAACTTAGTGTACCCATTCTCAAGCACAGAGGATGCACAGACAAACCAATGGGATCAGTCCAGGATGCACAGA